AAAATAAAAAATGATAAAAGATAATCATAAAAAAACAAATATATAAGAATAACATTTCTGTCGGTAAATATTTGGTGTAAGAAGGGCAAGCAGTCTTAAAAAGTTAGGCCTTTTAGTAGAGAGAAATGTGACTTCTTAACACGCTCCGGCTGTCCCAAAAATCTTATGCTCCCCTTTTTGAACTTAGTTTGGGGATGTCCGTCAGTTTATTTGTCCAAGATTAGTGGGACCCCAAAATGCTTGCAAAAGTAGCCGGATCTAGTGATGAGAATTGTCTGAGCACAGGACAGAGACAGGACACAAGATAGAATAATCTCAAACACATAAGTTTGCTGATTCCCATATGCCTTTATTTATGCGCATATATAACTTGTAGGATAGAGCCGGATAGTTTCCTTGACCTGATTTTAATGTGGAGTTTTTGCAAAGATGACTTCCAACTCGGATGTACGAGACAGGAGAGGATGTGTCAGCCTGAATGTCTTAGTAGAACCCAACTCCTGGCGGCTTGTGAAGCCTCATTTAGATTGGAATTCGCCGGCTTTTCACCTTTATTTGATCCAAGTTGCAAGTATCTGCCATTATTCAGCATCGTTTTGCTTATCTCTTCTTCACTTGGGCCGCCTTCAAAGGCATTAAGCACCAGCGACATTGGACCAGAGGTAAAGTGACTTTATGTTTTTTAATTTTTATTCATTTTAGATTGTATATATCCTCTTCTACCTAAATTCAACTCAAAGGGTGAAAAGAGCGAAAATAAGCTAAACCAGGGCTAAAAGCGAAATATACATTTGGCCAATATTCACGGATCTGGTGTATGTGGGCAACTTCAAAGGATTATCTTAACAATTTATGCCAATTTGAAAAGCAACTGGAAGTTTTATAGTAAAACAGTAAATATTTACTGCAAAGGAATTAAAAGGAAATGGAAATTTTTGGGCTATTAAATCATAGATGCAAATTAATTGAGTTTTTTGGCCAACGCATACCAGGAAGCCGAAAATTAGTTGACACTTATGTCTGTACGATTACAAAATACTACCAAGTAAAATATATTGAATGAGTCCAGTCAGGATCCTATCTTGCACAAGTTTACCACATGGTCTTTCATTTTTAAAGAAATCTGTAAAACCTGAAATTGGTTAGCTAAATTAGCAAATAACAAATAATTAATTAATTAATTAATTAATCAAATTAAACACATAAGTTTGCTGATTACCATATGCCTTTAGTGATGCGCATATACAACTTATAGGATAAAGCTGGATAGTTTCCTTGACCTGATTTTAATGTGAAGTTTTTGCAAGGATGACTTCCAACTCGGATGTACGAGACAGTGGAGGATGGGTCATTATGAAAAGTATTCACCCTATTTCGTGTAAGGTGATGAAGGACTGGTAGTAGAATTTTCCCACAATGCTATGAGTTGAGCTGACGTTTCCATTGCATTTCACATAGCCTTGCTTTCCTAAAACTTGTTCTCATCCCGACAGAAGTGGACTGTAGTTTCGAATTAGCATCGGTCTTATCAACACCCCCAGCGGGAGTCGAACCGCGACAGTGCAGGATGGGTGCTTGACACGCTAACCACTGTGCTACAGTGCCCCGAGTACCCTTGAGTCACAGGGCATAAGTGAATTTCATGGAAGGTGAGACCTTTTGGTCTCGAAACTCTACTCCAATACGAGGATGCGTCAGTCTGAATGTTTAAGTAGAACCCAACGGCTTCAGAAAAACTGGCAGAAGTTGCCATCTTCGGATGAGATCGACCTACAAATCTCTTTATCCTGCATTTTCCCAAGAAATAAGTGTTTCTACGACAAGAATTTACTCTTCATATTAGTATTCCAATATTTTGGCTCATTTATAAAGCCTGTAAGTTAGCAACTAGGCCAGTTATAGCAACGAATTTCTAATGGCGAAGTGGTAGCAAGAAAAAATGTGATAATAGTTGTACTTATAGTTCGAAAGAAGCGCTCCAAATTAAAGTGTAATACCTGCCGTCCTACGTGAGTTGAAGACACAAAAGTGATTATCCCGAAAGTAATATTTTGGAATAATACCTTTTTGGCAGTAATTGTAAGTGAAGACATTTCTTGGCGTAATGCGTTCTGCCATATGGTGGAATTCAGTTACAAATAAAATTGAGGATACAATGTAAGTTTGTGTTAATCCTCAAAAAATTTGTTTTGGCTTAGCGTGTCTTCTAAGCGAATCGAGGGTAAGTCAACTTTATGCAAAATACACAAGAAGAGTCCAACAGCAGAGTCAAATTGTTGATACAAAGGGCTTGGGAACAACACAAACCGGGAGAGACTTCGGGTCCATTGGGCAGCCTAGCAGGAAGCATCTAATCTCATCAAGAAATAAAGTTCTCTGAAGCTGACGGTTTGCAAAACTGGGTTATTCATCTTTTATACGTCAGCCATCAAACAATGTCTGGGGCTAAGACGTACTAAGGACAGGTGAAGATGTCCGGCCCTGTTGATTGAGAAAGTAGCAACCGCCACTTTCGTCCATGCCAGTAAGGCCCGTTCATCGAAATCTACTCTCTCGCCGGGCTCGTCTCCTACGGCAACTGTCCGACTGCAGCACTCTCCTTTTGATCAACTTTTGTCTACTCCTTCTTTCTCCATGCCGCCTCTTCGAAGATCTGTTCATGCTTAGAAGAACTGCAAGTTACTCTGTTCAGTTTGTCCCGTTGGCCAGTCACCACAGCCTGGTTGGCACCAGCCGAGTCGTCGTCACCACCCACTTGGCTGAGCAGAAAAAAGACGATAATCAGGCTGAACATTGTCACACAAATGCCCACCACATTTAGCACCATGGCAACTCGGCCCAGTCGCCGGGCCAACTTCTGGCGGGCCTCATAGCGACGAACAGCTGCCTCGAGATCGTCAAGATTTGCGGCTTCAAAGCCAACCAGACAGTCCAGTCCGTCCAGTTGGTCTGTACCAGTCGCCTGGAGACCCATCACACCTTCGGAGACACTCGGATTGATTGGCGCATTGTCCATTGTCTTCAGACCTCGGGTCGAGGGCAAGAGAGTGGAGCATTTGAGATGCGAATCGTTTGTGTAAATTGCAGAAATCTCGCCTCTCTTCAGCCTAGTCCGTTCGGGCAATTCTTCCGTTTGCGACTGTCTTTTAGCTGCCTCATCTTCATTCTCGTTTGCATCGTCAGCCTCACTCACGAGGTGGTTAGGGGCAGAATCGAATGCTTTCATCCATCTTTGCTGGTAAAAAGGGTTGTTGGTCTTTGTAGCGCCATTTGATCGAATGGTACCAATTTGCTCGGGTGGATAGCCGAGTTGAGCATCTAACCTGCTGGAGAAATGGTTGAACGACTGTCTGGGATCAGGCATCAAAAGGAGCTGATGAGCGTGTGCGCTGAGCGCCAGTGCGATTGCGCCAAGTGGGCAATTTAAGCAGAAGGCCACGAGACAGGAGACGACACAGTAACTGTACTCATGAGGCCTAAGCTCTGTCTCCGAGGCAGCATAACTTCTGGCGGCTTGGGAAGCCTCAGTTAGATTGGAAGTCGCCGGCTTTTCAACTTTATCTGATCCAGCTTGCAAGTGTCTGCCATTATTCAGCATAACTTTGCTTAGCTCTTCTTTAATTGGGGCCCCCTCAAGGGCATTAAGCGCCAGCGGCATGGGATTAGAGGTAAAGTAACTGTGTGTTTTTTTTAATTGTCATTCATTGTAGACTTGTATATATCCCCTTCTACCTAAATTCAACTGAAAAGGAAAAAAGAGCGAAAATAAAATAAGCCAGAGCTAAAAGCGAAATATACATTTGGCCAATATTCGCTGATCTGATGTATGTGGGCAACTTGAAAGGATTATCTTAACAATTTATGCCAATTCGAAAAGCAACTGGAAGTTTCATAGTAAAACAGTAAATATTTACTGCAAAGAAAGTAAAAGGAAATGGAAATTTTTTGGGCTAAGAAATCATACTGGTAGTCTCGAAACCCTACTTACTTACAAATATAAGAAATCATAGATGCAAATTAATTGAGTTTTTTGGCCAACTCATACCAGGAAGCCGAAAATTAGTTGACACTTATGTCTGTACGATTGCAAAATACTACCAAGCAAAAGATGTTGTATGAGTCTAGTCAGGATCCTCTCTTGCCCAAGTCTACCGCATTGTCTGTCATTTTCAATGTGTGAGCAACTTGGAGGGATTATCTTACCAATTTATGCCAATTTGAAAAGCAACAGGAAACACTAAATATTTACTGCAGAGAAATTAAACAATA